CCCCTCGCTGCCCGGGGGCCTGGGCCCCCTCTCCCCACCCTGTTACTGAGGGAACTGCTTTTGTCGCCAGGGCTCGCTGGTTAGTGTTTTGCTTCCAGGAACAGTGGTACCGGGACCATCGTTTGTCCACCTGTAGCCTTTCACGAGGGGCCTTTATGGCCACGGGCAGAGCCGCAGGACCAGGGCTGCTGGGTGCTGGGTGCTGGGTGCTGGGTGCGTCCACTAACAGCCCACTTTCCGGAAAGGCTGCGGGGCTGTGTGGGGAGGCCCCTCTCCCTGCGCCTCGGCCAGCTCCAGACGTTGGCTCGTTTGTTCGGTTTGTCTGCCGTGTGAGCGCCTCCTGTGTGCCACACACTGTCCTGGGTCCCGGAGACAGATGGACACCTCAGTTCTGCCCCTGAGAGCCCCGGGGTGGCTGTGTCCCACTCTTTGGACCTCATTCGACTAACAGCAGCAGTAATATCAACACCGGATACGGACTCAGTTCTTACTGGGTGGCGCCTGGCTCCAGGCTCCCTGCGTGTATCTGTCTGTTGAGCCTCATGGTAACCCCAGGAAATCTGGGGGAGCCCCGGAGGGTGGGGGCAGCGTTGGGGTGTCTGCGGGGCCTGGGGCCAGCACTGAGACCCAGGGAGGGGGCAGGGTCCCATTCCTCCCCCAGGCTGCAGGCCTGGCAGTGTGCATGCTCACACGGGCGTGTTGGGGGCGTGTCGGTGGGGGGGTGACGGGCACTTTGAAGGCAGCAAGCATGTGGACCAGGAGGTCCTCAGCCCAACTCCAATCCCAGCTCTCCTCTCGGGCGAGTGGCTTATCTCTCTGGGCCTCAGTTTCCTCATCTGTGAAATGGGGTGAGTGGGAGTAGCATGCGTCTCGTAGGGTGTTAGGAGGGTTGAGTCGGAGACTTCTGTCGAGTGCCTTGTATGCCACAGGCCGCACATGAGAGGGGTGCATGTCCCTCTCCGCCTGTCTCCCGGTGGGAGTGTCCGTCTGTCCTGCCTGCATTGTGGGTTGGCCTCGGCCTGATCTCTCACTGTGCCTTTCTCTTCCTCCCTCTGTGCACAGCCTGCCCGTCCCTGGTCACCGTGGGCAGTGGACGGATGGCCGCCCAGCCGCTGACCAGCGAGGCCCCAGTGAGTCATGTCACCCTCTCGTACATCCTTCCTAAGGGTCAGGCTCCTGAGCAGGGACGACCCTCTACCCTCCCAGCCCCCCTCAGGGCCCAGGGCCCAGCCCGGTCTCCTGGGGGGCTGTGTCCAGCCTGAGGAGGGAGGGAACGGCCCTGACATTGGCTTCCGTCCACTGCAGGGGACAGGGCAGCTCAGGAGCGACCTGTCCTGCCCTGGGGGCCCTCAGGAGACACCAGCGGGCACCTGGGAAGTGATGGCTGAAGCATGTACCATCACACGCGGGAGGAAACCAACCTGTGTCTCTCAGTGTCAGTTCACTGGGTCAGGGTCATTTTGGCCTTTCATTGCTTCCCTGTTTCCCAGCTCTCTGTCTGCTCTGAANGTCATTTTGGCCTTTCATTGCTTCCCTGTTCCCCAGCTCTCTGTCTGCTCTGAACAGTCCCATATTTCACCTGGCTGTCAGAGGACCATGCAGTGTACTTAGGCACCGGGGACACTGAGTGGCCAGGCCCTCAGACCCCTGCACCTTGTGGAAACCACGTCAGATACATCCTGTGCGCCTTCCCTGACCCTCTGGGCCCTCCTGGCTGGCTCCCTCGACCTCTGTGAGGAGCAGCCTGCGGTGAGCGGCTGTGGGTGTCCTCTTACAGGAGTCAGTGACATTCAGGGACGTGGCCGTGGACTTCACCCAGGAGGAGTGGCAGTGGCTGGAGCCCGCCCAGAGGGACCTGTACAGAGATGTGATGCTGGAAAACTACAGGAACCTGGTCTCGCTGGGTAAGGGGGCAGCCTCGTCGAGTTACTCACCACCTGCCGGCACCGCGGGGTGACAGGGGAATAAAAAGGACTTGACAGATTTGATTGAAAATAAAGTTGGTAGGTGATGAAATGGGGAATAGTATTTAACCACATGTCTGACAGTCAGAGGATTATAAATATATAAAGAGTTCCTAGGAATAAACAAGAAAAAGACTGAACGAATGATAGACACGTGGACCAAAGGGCAAGTGGGGTGGGTGGCAGAGAGGAGCTGGGGAGCAGCAAGGCGTGGACTGACCCCTGGTGCACTGGGAAGATGCTGGAGGGTTTGGTCTGACTCCTGAGACCCTCTCCCTGGGGGGTGGAGAGTGCGTTGCAGAGGCGGAGCGAGAGGCTGTGGTCACATTTTGGGCAGGAAGCTCCGGGTGGCCACCAACGGTCACCTGTTGTGATGCCTGGATCCTGCCCTGGTCAAGCGGGTTTTCACGTCCGGTGGCTTCTGTTCATGTCGGGACAATGGGAGGGAAGGAGTGAGTCAAGGATCGCTACTGAGTCTTGTTTGCTTTTTATTAAAATGTTTTTAAATTTTCTTAATGGTGGCAAAATACACGTAGCATACAGTTCGCCATTTTAACTGTTCTTAGGTGCGCAGTTCCGCGTTAAGAACGTTCTTGCTGCGCGGCCATCCCAGGCCTCTCTCCGGGCCTCTTTCCTTCTTTCTTTTGAGCCTGAGCCCGCCCTGAGAGGGGGGCAGGGAGGTGAAGCGCGACGCAGAAGCGCCCCTTGGTGCCCCCCGCAGTGCCCCACCCGGGAGCGGACCGCCACCCTCTGGGGCACAGGGTGACGCGCCACCAACCGAGCCACCCCTGCTAGGGCTCCAGAAATCTTTTAAAAATATATCTATTGATTTAAGAAAGAGAAAGGGAGAGAGAAACATCGCTGCTGAGAGTCATGGCTCG